TTTCAGTCATTTCCCTTACATGTTCATTTGACTGCCGATCACCTGTGGAGCTTTAAAAGCTTCAGAAAAACCTAGTTCCACTGTCTTTTCACTAAATGAAGACTGGGAGGGAGAATCAGATTTGGAAATGCTGGACGTTTTAATCAACAATATTTTATTGAACAAATTAAATAATAAAAAATGGTATAGATTTGGTTCATTTTCGTAATTAACTATGGATGAGATCTGATCCTCCATCATTTTAACAATTCTTCGACTTCATCTACTCAGAAGGTTTCTCCTCGGCCCCTTTATCATGACCAGCACCCGTACGAGTCCGACTCGCGCGGCAACATTGGTTTCTTGTCAACCATTCAGGAAGGTTAATCAGAAATGCTGGCAATACCTGAAATTACTTGCAAATAGGTACCTTTTGTGTATTTTCAGATCAATAATTATTGCTGCTCACAATTAGACCGTGTATTATCCCGAACGCTACGACCAGTGTGATAGAAGTTGTGAAGACCGCTGACGAGTAAGTCTGAAATAGGCCAGAACCTTTTAGCCGTCTCAGTTTAGTCTATTTAATTGTGCCATCATGCAAGCTAGACAGAGAAAGTGCACCTTGCGCCCCTCGGTTTTGGGGTTCAAAAGCAAGAACACTCACCGCTGCTAAGTTAGTTGGGGGGGGGGGGGTGCGGTGAACGATAGCCGCCGTGGCGTGCGTACATTCCATCTCTTCGCGCACTTAAAGGCAAAGTTCGGGCTCAGACCCACCTAAGAAGCCCTTACCATGGCTAGAAGTGCTGGGTACGCAAGTGCAAAGGTAGCGCCACCTTTCTACATCGAAACGCGTCACTAGGACCCTAGGCGCCATGGACTTCTAACAGACTCCACCAAACTTAACATGGTCCGCCCACCGTTCGATATCTTGTCTGCGTCGCCACGTTGATCTGCTATGCTCTCTCTTCTCGGACTTCTCTACCGCTCTCCGCGCTCACATTATCTCTCATCTCCCTGCCTGTCTTTTGAACTTCTCCACAGCATAGAGCAAAATGCTCGTATTTCCTGTGTATTTCAGGATTTTCTTTCCTTTTTTTCTCCACTGGCGGTCCACCTCCCATCCCTACTTTCACATTTGAGTGGAATCACCCATCAATTTAATCCTGATTCTTGCCTTTAAGTGTCTTGCTTCGCTCCCTCCCTTGATTGGCTACACTCCCTTGGCTCACGGATTCCCCTTTTCCCACTGAATGGCAGGGACACGCCGCGCCGCGACGGCTACCCTCCCTCCAACTAACCATAAGCTGGCACCTGTTCACGATCTATCGATTCCTGGAAAGACCGGCATTTCCATCATGGTCACTGTTCAATGGGATTTTTCTAACTAGGGAGATCGCACTTTGCCAAAAAATATTCCACGATAAGGTTGGAGGTCGGAGTAGGGGAAATATACCCAGTCGAGATGCAGGCTCCTCCCCTGGGTACAAGACGACGCGCATTGCCATTCACTTGTGAAGAGTGTTCCCCCAGCGGCCTAGCAGGGCCATACCCGCGCCGCTCGCGCCGTGGTGCGCCCACGCTGTGGTAGTTTGATCATGCTGACCATTCAGCAGAAAGAGCGTTAGCGCTGAAGAGGCCACCAACGATGAGAGTCGCATCGATGCGCAAAATCAACAGGAGAGAAGGGTCCTATTTCGGGCTCTGGAGTGCTATGCATTCCTGCACCCTTCAGCCATCTGCTCTGCCTTTGAAGACCTCAAAACGTTACATGCGTGCTGCGATGCCTGTCAGTGGGCCCATGTTGTGCTACGTTTACATGAAAAGGATCATCGCTGGTGACGTTGTTTCACGGCTCTGCCGCTAATTTCCTGAGCCACACCGGTGCGCCAGAAGGTGCGGTCGAAGGTCGCGCGTCAACGGCATATTCGCCGGGCACGCACACCGCAAGCGGTGCCAGTCATGACACTCGCGTCGCGTAGTGGCCTACACGGCGGAATACCCTCATTCGTGTGCAGGGGCAGGGATGGCTGGAAAAATCCTAGCAAATCTTTGTAGCCTCTTACTGAATTCCATTC